ATGGGAAATGCAGGATTTATATCATCAACCGTTAGAGTCAGGTTCTGGTCTAAGGGTGCTTGTTCGTCTGCTTCAGAGAATAGTGTAGGGGCCTTACTAAGTAGAATGGTATATTCTGCTATAATCATAGAACCTCCAAGATAGTATCGGCAATTATTTAGGCTCCTACTTTATTCCTCAATTTTCGGGGTTAGGGGCGAAGCAATAGGAGCAACACACCCGACAACTTCAACAAGCCTGAAACGTGTAATATGGGGGCCGAAAAAGTTACCTATAATATTTTGGGGGGTTCCTTATTGTACTTAATCAGAGTACAATATACCTCAAACCTCCATTCTAATTATTAAGGCCCCTACATTAGTTGCGGACAAACACGAAGACGACTATAAAGTCCGAAAAAGCCCGATTATGCTGGAGAGAAGAGGGTTTTGGGTTACTGAAATGATCATGGGACTGACGAACTAGGGTTAGTACTAAGGTAACTATACTTGTAATTACTTATAACCCAAATGAAGGTACTTCTAGCTTTGCCTACTAAGTCCCATGATCCTCCCAGGTTTGCTACACCACGAATATTTCGACCTCTATATTACTGAAGGCGCGAACCTGGGCCCAGCAGAATGGGTTGAGATGTACCTGTATCCCTGAAACGAATTACCCTTTTTGCGAAGGAACCCTAAAGTGGTAGGTTTTTGATGCTTTAGGTAGCCGCTGTGTGATGAACAGCTACTGGGCCCCAAGAACCCTTCTCCAATCACTAAGGCCGCCAATTGTTATGCGGATCCTCAACCGTAATGACAAATGACAAATAAGCCGTTCAGCATAAATAATAAACACCATTCTAGCTACCAAGACCCCTGTGGTACAACCTGTACGCCCCATATGTATCAAAGACCTACGAAGCCTCCCCAAAACCTTGCAAAACCCTACAAATGCCTTTGAGCGCAACACGAAAACTCAGCGCGAAACTCGACAAAAATTATGCCGTCCAGGCATCTTCTGAGAGTTGCAACTGAGCTCTGACGTGATGGCCTTTCGCTGTTTGTCGGCTGCAGAGCTAGGGTTTAGGGTTTAGGGGTTAGGGTTTAAGGTTTGGGGTTTAGGGTTTAGGGGTTTATGGGTTTATGGGTGTATGGGTTTTTGGGTTTAGTTCTGCTGTAGGATTTTCTTTGAACGCCTTTAATGTAGGGGCCTTAATAATTAGAATAGGGTTTTGGGCTTCTTTATGGTAAGTCTGTAATTAATGAGGAACCCTAAGAATAGTATTGGCAATTATGTAGGCTTCTGCAGGAGGCTTAACTGCACTTAGGGCTTAAGGTTCAAGGCTGAATTTGAGAGGTTCAGGTTTTGGGTTTTGGGTCTACCGTTTAGGGCTGAGGGTCCAAGGCCCCCGAAACCCTCTACCAATGCTTCGGGTCCACGTATTAAGCCCTACAAAACTCCTTTGTCAAGAAACATCTAGAGGAATCTACAACCCTGTAGTTTCCTATACAGTCTTTACAACCCTATATCACGCCCTATGTGAAATCCATTAAAGGCACGTGAAAGACTTTAACAAAAACTCCAAGACCTAACCCTAAACCCCACAAACCCTGAAACCCTCAAGCCCTAAACCTAAAACCCAATCGCCCTCAAACCCCCAAACCCTAGAGCCCCAAGCCCCTTAGAATTCGAAAGCCCGAACACCCTAAAACGCAAAAGCCTCTAACCCTGAAGCCCTAAACCCCCTAACTCCCAAACCCTAAATCCCTTAACCCTAAGGCCTAAACCGCACTAAACCCCTACCCCTTAAACCCCGCAAAACCCTGAAGCCCTAAGCCCCTATAGTACCCTTCTGGAATCCGTTAAAGGAACCCGTATGGCTTGGTTCCTGAGTAGCCTCTTTATAATAAGGGTGCCCTTTTTCCTACTATTCGGTTTTAGTAAGGGGGCCCTACAATAAAAAGGGCAAAAGGGTACCACTCAGGGACCTAGACAATGGTACCCGTTTAGAACCCTTGAAAGGAACTCTAAATTGCATCCCGGCGTCCATTAGGTGGCCATCTTTGAGAGACCTCCCCCCGACTCCCGTGATGACACCTCGGTTTAGGGCTTCGGGTTTAGGGGTTTAGGGGTTTAGGGTTTTGGGGTTTCGGGGTTTAGGGTTTAGGGTTTAGGGGTTTAGGGCTTAGTTTGTTGGAGTTTCGGGGTGTTTACAGGGTTTCTTTTAGGGCTTTGGCGGTGTAGGGTTTAGGTTATAACGTTTAGGAGTCGGGTGGCTTTACAAGGCTGCTTCAGAAGTGCAAGGGGCTGTTTTTAAGGGGGTTCAAGTAATTCGCAGATGTGTGGTGGACATTTGGGCTGGATGGTTTGAGGGTTTGGGGATTGTGGGGTCTGGGGTTAAGGCTTGAAGGGTCTTGGGGTCTTGGGGCTAGGGTTGAGGGTTTAGGGTTTAGGGGGACTTAACGGGTTTAATGTAGGGTTTAGGGTTTAGGGTTTGAGCTTGTTGGGGGGCGGATAGATTCAGGTTTCGCGCGTTTGGCCAGCATCACATGGACCCTAATCGCAAAACCCGGAGCTGTAACCCCTAAACCCTAAACCCTAATCCCTAAACCCTAAACCCTAAACCTAAACCCAAGAGTTCTCGTCCCTGAAGATGCCGCCGTCTGTACACGCCAGTGAGGCCAACGCTCCTGAAGTAGGGACTGTTCCCTAAATCATGCAAAAATTTGCGCAAGACTCTCCTAGAAACTTGCAGTACAAAGACACTTTAAAGCCATTCTCCCGAATCTCTGACTATACCCCTGTCTTCTTGGGGGGGTCCATTTGCAGACTGCTGTGCTTTCAAGACCCTAAACCCAGACCCTAAACCCTAAACCCCTAAATTCTAAACCCTAAACCCCTAAACACGTAAACCCTAGACCCTAAATCGCTAAACCCCTAAACCCCTAAATCCCTAAACCCCTAAACCCTGAACCCCCAAACCCTAAACCCTGAACCGTAAAAGATAAACCCTAACACTCAAGAATTGCGGTTTGGGGTTCCGCGCTAGAATCAACAAGGGTGCTTAAACCTTAGACCAGCCCAAACCACAGCCCAAAAAACCGAAAAATACAAAACATCATATGCAAAGCTCATAACACGTTCGAAAAGCACTAATTATCAACAACTACAAAAAAGCTCCCAAACGAATAACCAAATGAACCACCGCAAAGCAGTGAGCAATCCGTCGGGGAGCAGGGACTGCCGGAAGTGCAAAAAAAAAGCTGCTCGCTGTTGACGTCGATACCTCAGGGCTCTACAAGGGGGTGAGGATTGGAGTTTAGGGGCAAGGGCTGGTTAAACCCTAAACCCCAAACCCTAAACCCTAAACCCTGAACCCTAAACCCCAAGCCCTAAACCCTAAACCCCCTTGCATTGCATCAAGCCTCCCGATGATGCGTGGGGTTTAGGGCCCTATAGGGTTTAGGGCTGAGGGCCTTACAACTGAAGGGTCTCAGATTTGGGGCCAAGGGATAGACCTCTAAATTAGGGTTCTGTTGAGCCGCCAAGGTGAGCTTGCTTCTGCAGACGAAGGCTCACAGAGCCAGCAGAAGGCCAGGAGCAGCTTTAGCACCATAATTAGAACGACTTCGACAAGCATAGCACAGAATGTATGCAGTCAACGTCAAGATCTTCTGCTGTTCGTTAAAAAGACTTCTGCGCCGTTAGTTTGCTGCCATGGACCCGGTACCCGTAACCAACCTTTCGAACGATGACCCTCGAGAAGGCCGTCAACAGGTTATGAGCCCAACGCTCGGCGTTGAGGTTGGCCGCCAAGAGGTACCGCCGGTTAGACATGTGGTTCTGGCTGGAGAAGAGCGTGGACCTGACTACGGCAGAGACGTTGGGCCGCGGCTGGGGCAGCATGAGCAATCCTTGCTACCCAACGGTGTCAGTTCGTCTGGTCAGCGACCGACGGTTGCTGGTCAGACGACTCGACCTGTTGAAGCAGTGGGTGGTTTCTTTTCGCCAGTGGCTGGCGCCGATGATGGTGACAGTTATGTGGATGCAGGAGCAGTTCTGCCTGACCAAACCGGACCTGGCCACGCAACCGCATTGGGCGCGACGACGCACGATACGAGTTCAGGGTCTTTAAGGGTTGGTTCTGCTCAGACACCTGTGCCACAACATGCACCACAGCAAGGCGAGCAGCAAGCAGCCACTCAAGCCTTTGAGTCACCACGCGCTACAGCAGCAGCCCGGCAACAGCCGGAAGCAGCAGCCACGCCGCAGCAGCAAGCACCTGCAGCTATGCAATCACAAGCAGCGGTAGCCGCGCAGCAGCCAGCAGCTATGACACCTGCAACAGCTACTACGGTGCAGCAAGATCTTCAATTCGCAAGGCAAGCTGAGCATCGTGATGATGATTTTCGGTTTGGCCAAGGAATTCAGGAGTTGGGACCAACTACCCAGCCTACTACCCTGCCTGCAGTACTTCGCCCAGGAATGCACGAGATGGAGGAGATCGTGATGACTTCTACAACTTCGTCCCCGGAGCGCCGGGCAGGGAGGCCACGACCACAACAAGGAGCTACGTGGGGCTTTTCACAAACAGGACAAGCCTTTTACAGACGAGTCATCGCTCCGGTGCTGGAGCAGGCTGGTGTGGTCAAGGCGCCGCCACCAAAAACTTTGCCCTCGTCGTTTGCGAAGTCTTCGGCGCCTGGGATTGGGGCCTCTGGAGCTCCCTTGATGCCACCGGGAGTGCAGCAGGCGATGAGGGCCTGGACTGCACGGCCAAGTTTGTTGACCCCACGGCCGTTTGCTCCGCCACAGCAGATGGATGGGACGTCTTCGGGCAGTTCGGGGCATCAGGAGATGGTGGCAGAGGAGGTTCGTCGCCAAGTTCAAGGAGCTTTGCAGGCTCGAGATGCCCATGTGAAGGCCCTGGCGGAGGAGAACAATGAGTTGCGGAGGATGTTGATGGTACAAAGTCATGCCTTGGAGGCAGCGAGGGAGACGGGCCGACCGGGAACAAGGTCGCAAGCCCAGCCGGCTCTTCAAGAAGAAGTCGCAGGAGCTGATGGACCAGGTGTGGGACGTGTCGGCAATCCTGGACTTGAAGGCTGGACTGATTGTGGGCGCCCAGGTGATCTTCCTGAAGGAGTTCAAGGTGATCCTTTATCTGGAGAAAGCCAAGCCGGGGCAGCAGTGGATCCGAGATATCCTTGCGGCTCTGGTAGCCAGCCAGAACAGAGCGGAGGCGGAGGAGGAATCGCAGCGGAGCCCAACCTCGAGGATCGAGGTGGTGCTGCGCCTTCGTCTGCGGGCCGCCTGCATAAAGAACCACCGTTAAGTACCGCAGCGCCCCTGCAGCTCCTTGTTCAAGGAATGCGCCAACTACAGCAGGCCTACCTGGACAAGAAGGATGGGCCAGAGCAGGAAGTGGTCAAGGGTGGCATTGAGCTGCCCAAGCTACCGGAACCCCACGCCGATGGAGGCGTGGAGTTTCAAGACTGGGTGTATATGACTGAGCAGATGGTGGGTTCTTTGACAGACAAGGCTGGGACGTGGTACATGGCTACATTGGCGTGTGCTAAGGAAGCTTTCATGAAGTACCAGGCCGCTACCCCGCTTATGAGGCTCAGCATCGCCCCAGTCATTCCCGTGGAGTTGAAGGCGAGGCTTTGGGAACGCTTGGACCGCCGAGTGCTCACCCTTATCCTCGCTGCTATGCCTCGCCAAGCAAAGGAGGACGCTGTTACTCACAGGGTGAAAACAACGGCCGATGCACTTTTCAGGCTGTATGTTTTGTATCAACCGGGAAGCTCTGCTGAGCGCGCAGCAGTTCTGAAGCTTCTCGAAGGGACAGCAGCTGGGGAGAATGTCGAGGAGGTCGTGACCGCCCTGAGGCGATGGAAGAGGCACCTCACCCGTGCGATGGACATGGGCATCACGCCGCCGGACGCGTCGATTCAGCTCAAGGCCATCGACCTGATCATCGCAAGGGTGATAGAGCGTGACCCGGGCCTCTCCTTTCGGCTTTCTCTTGCAAGGCACACCCTACAGCTACAAAGCCGTCCGACTCAAGAGACTGTGCTGCAGCAGTTCTACGACCACGCCCTTGCGGAGATCCAGCAGCTCGCACCTTGGAAGAGCAAGACACAAAGTGGGCAAGAAGCAACAAGATTGAAGGCGCTTGGAACTACAGCTGGAACCGGCGAGCCGACAACGCCTTCCTCTACGTCTTCACCCAAGGGAGCTGGCAAGGGGAACGAGAAGACTCCATGCAAGTTCTTTGCGAGTGATGCTGGGTGCAAAAAGGGGGGAAGCTGCAAGTTCGCTCATACTTTTATGAGTCGTGAAGACAAGAAGTCTAGATGCTGGACTTGTGGTGCTCGCAATCACAGACAGTCGGACTGCCCGGTGAAGGCCAAGGCAAAGGACCCTGCAACCCCAAAGGCAGCAAGTATGAGTACTACAGCACAGCCCTCAGGCTCTACTACAACCTCAAGCTCTGTGCAGCTCCAGGCCGCGACTACTTCAGCAGCCCAGCCCTTGGCCTCGGCATCCAATGCGGGTGCAGCCACCTCTTCTACAGCTTCGAGCCAGCAGCCTTCTGGAACACACCAACATGAACAAGAAGTCAAGGCTCTTCTGCAAGAGGCTAACGCTATGTTGAGCAAGCTGGCCCAGCTGCAGACTTTGACGATTGCGCAAGGGACAACAGATGAGCTGCGAGTTGCAATCAAGGCCTATGAAGCTCAAGTTCAAGCTAGAACGGCGCTTTTGGACTCGGGCGCCTCCCACGCCTTTCGGCCGCTACGTGATTGAGACGACTACCCCTATCAAGGCGGAGCTCGCAGGAGGCCAGGAGACTTGGCTACGTCAAACAAAGGCGGGTACCTTGGTTCCGAGCTCACAAGATGATGGTGGTCAGGTTAAGTCTATTGTTCCACTTGGAGCGTTGGTCCAACAGCTCAATTGCACCCTGGCCTGGACCAAGGATGACGGCTTGATCATCAACCACCCGTCGTGCGGTAAGATCACTGCACAGACAGTGGGCAATTGCCCTGTGATTCCTGAAGGCCAGGCGTTGCGCTTGATAGCAGAGTTGGAAGAAGCCAGAGTGAACGAGCTAGAGGGCCACGTGAATGATGGCCGACTTCGGATCCTAAACTGGGATCTCAATGAGCTGAGAAGCTGGGAGAATGCTATGGCGACCTATGTGGCTACTGGAAAAAGGCACAGTGGTCTGGAGGCCTTGATGATGTCGTCGTCTCCTTTCGGACAAGTAGATGTGTCGATCCGGAGCCTCATGGTTGATGATGTGGACCTTACAGACCAAGCGGGCTGGAACTACCTGAAGGCGATGCCACTGCGCCGAGCAATGAGGAAGCGACTTCACCAGACTTCATGGATTGTTCACTTGTATGCCGGCCCCTACGACAAGAAGTCCGACAACTTGAAGGTCACCGAGAGGAATGGCGTTACAGTGTTGGAGTTGGATATTCTCCGAAGCAGCTTGTTCTCCTTGAGGGGACAAGGCCCAGCCTACAAGCTTCTCTTGTGGGCAGTGCTCCGGGGCCAGATTGTCAGTGTTGTGGGTGGCCCGCCAAGCAGTTGTTTTTGTGGACATTGGCGGACAAGGCAATGAGAATGATGCGGTTGCCAGCCCCTGGCTTCATGATGGAGCTTCCTGAAGGCCATGGTTTCTGGAAGTCGGAGGCTTGGAGCAAGTGGAGCAGTGGTCTGCGTATGCCAGCTTGCTATGTTTCGGCTGGGGCTGATGCTGGTCAGTACAGGGTGGCCACGAACCTTGATTTCTACAGGGCCCTCCCAGTCGAGAAAGCAGACCTAAAGAATGTGCTAGCTGCTAGCTTGGTCCCCTTCATCATGGACTACGACCTTCAAGGACCAGATTTGTGAGGCTTTGCAGGCTTGGTACAAGGAACCAGACCTACCGCGGCTTGCACGAATGCTGGCCAAGTTCGAAGGCAACTACGACGAGATGAGCCTTGCTGATTTGAAGAAATGGGCTCTACATGTACGAAATGGTCATGTGCCTTTTCATCCTCGCTGCCAAACTTGTGTGTCAACGAGGGCGACTGGGAGGAGACATCAGCGTGTGCGATCGCCGTCCTCCTGTGTTCTCTCCCTCGATATCTCCGGGCCCTACCGTACAAAGGGTGAAACTGGAACTCGCAAGGATTTTCGCTATGTTCTTGTCGGCGCCTTCATGATCCCCAAGATGTACAAGGACCTGAAGGAGGGCGACGGCGAAGCAAAGAACGAAGGAAGCGCGAGAAACGAGGCCAGTGGCACCAGTATGAAGGAGGACTTCGAATGCTCGGAGTATGAGCCTTCGGAACCTGGAAGTGTGCTCAAGGAAGGTGTTGTGGCGGATGCGGATGAAAAGGATGAAGTTGAAGGTGGAGTTGGCAGCTTTGGCGACTACGAGGACCTGTTTGAGGATGTCAAGGTGAATTATGATTATGTCAAGGACCCACTTAGACCCACTTCCTGAGGAGGAGCTCGACAAGACCAACAAGGAGTTCTGGGAAACCTACAAGGAAGTGGGAGACCCTTTTCAGATGCAAGTGTTGCAGTATGCCATCCCGCTGGTTACGCGAAGATCGTCGGAGGTCAACGCTGCAATCAGGACTATGATCTTGAAGATCAAGGCAGAGGGATTTCCAGTTGTTCGATGCCACTCAGACAGAGCGAGGGAGTTGACAAGTGACTCTCTAAGGGCCTGGCTTGTGGAACGGGATATTCTCCCAACCACGGGAGAAGGTCAGGCGCCGCAGCAAAACGGCCGGGCTGAGGCTGTTGTCAAGAGCCTGAAGGGTCGAGCCAAGCAGCTTCTACATGCAACTGGCCTACCAAGACAGCTGTGGCCGATGGCTATGACGTATGCAGCGTTTGGGGGAAGGCACGACCTAGAGTTGAGATGGGCCAAGGGCCGTTATGTTGGGCCAGCTCAAGATATTCCTCGCGGCAGTGTTGTTCGGCTTGATGATGGTGGCTATGTTACTTCGGTCCATCTTCGTCCACATCTTGTGGACGCAGACCAGTTAGTTGACTTGGTCCCTCATGAAGTCGACTTGGACTTTTCAGAGTCTGTGCGAGCAAGAGTGAAGGAGAAAACGACACCTACCACGAGGGCAGCTCCCCGACTACCACCAGGCACCTTTCCTACTGGGCGGATATCTTCGTTGCGGATGAAGCCCCTCACCGAAGAGGAGGAGAAGGCTGAGTCGTTGGCCAAGAAGCTGGAGGAGGACAAGTCGTATGGTGTGGACAATGTCTTGAGATTGTACGAAAGGCTTGAGGCTTCAAGACAAAAGAGCAGCCGAGGAGGATCATCTATGTGGTTCACGGGTGCTTTTGTTCGAGGAGGCAAGGCTGGTTTGCGGCTGGGAACTACAAGGATGCCTTGGTCTACAAGATACCTGATTGGTGCAGCGTGGCATTTGACAGGCACCGGGGACTTCACTGCGGTTGGCGTGGCCAGAAATCCTAAGTCTGGCTACCACAAGGACAGTCACAATGAGGAGGAGGCAGACAATGTGGTGGTTGGACTCAATGACGTGAAGACAGGCGGTGGATTGTGGGTACAAAATGAGGACCTACATCATGCAGAAGCTGACTGGCGGCAAGTGTCCAAGAAGGTTATGTGCAAGGGCGAAGTTCGGACTTTGGGGCGGGGAGACGTCACAAGGTTTGCGCCGAGGCTGTGGCATGGTGCAGAGCCTCATGAAGGAGATCGCTACATCATGATCCTGTACACGCCTCGAACTAGAGCTTTGTCGAGAGAAGACAGGGATGTTTTGCGAGGCCTTGGCTTTACCTCTTCAGCACTATGCGAAGGAGAGCAATGTGTGCCGACTACAACATCAGCATCTACAGGTCAGCTCGAATCACTCGCTGCAGAGGGAGGTTGTGATGATGAAGAATGTAGATTCAGAAGTGTGCCGACTACAACGTCAGCATCTGGTCAGCTCGAGTCACTCGCCGCAGAGGGAGGTCCTATATTTGATTGATGAGCACAGCGCTGGAGGTCCTTTATGTTTAGGTGATGAGCACAGCGCTGGAGGTCTCAAGCCAGTTCCTGTATGGGCACAGGATTTCAGCTCCGAGGACGAGGTTCAGCAGCCTCAAGCACGGTTGTTGAAGTCCAAGCAGGCGGCGCAGATTCCAGATCTTGAGGGGCCTTTTCGTGCGGTGATTGAGGACCAAGAGGACTTGATCGAGGAGTTATCAGAACGGGCAGCTACTCTTAGGAGACTCCTTGAGGAGGAGGAAATCCTAGCTGAGCAAGTTCGCCGAGCAGGAGATTGTGTTCAAGCGGAAGCCTCACATGTGCGGGACTTGGTGGAGGATATGCTTGATGAAGTGGGCAAGGGCTTGGAGCATTGTCAAGCTCAACGAGAACTGCGATGTTTGAAGGCGATCCAAGCTGGAGAGCAAACTACAGAGGAGCCAGACTACGAAGCACTTTTAGAAGGGCTACAGCGTGACCTAGAGGTTGTGTATACGGTCCCGTTGAGTCAGGTTAAGCCTGTTGTGGAGCGTTGGCGAGATGCTATCTCTGCAGAAGTGGCTGGGCTCTTCGAAGGCACCCTCAGGAGCATCACCATCGAGGAAGCGCGGCAGCTGGAGAAGCAGGGGCGCTTAAAGCTGGTGCCGAGTAAATCGGTGTGCACGCTTAAGCCCCCGAGTGAGCCAGGATCCAAGAAGCGGTATCGTCGGAAGTATCGGTTGGTGATCTGTGGAAATTACATCGATCGTCCCGACGGAGCTTCTGGAGAGAGCTTGTACGCTGGTGGAGCATCAGCTGAATCACTTCGTGCTTCTTTGGCCTTGGCGGTGATCTTCGCATGGACAGCTGGGTCAAGCGACATTGCAAGGGCGTTCTTATTGGCAGAATGGCCTGCCCACATGCCCCTATATGGAGTCTTCCACCACGACTACTACTACAGACTGGTCACGCGAAACCAGGAGAGATTTGGCTTATCCAGAGACCGTTATACGGCCTCCGGGAGGCTCCTGCGATATGGGCAGCCTTTCGAACGGAAAAGCTGAAGGCGGCCAAGATTGACCTCGAGGATGGGACTTGGTTGGTGCTGGTTCAATCGATCGTAGACCCAGAAGTATGGCTGGTGAAGCAGAGGTCGGCCAACGATGAGGTTGGTGTTTTGGTTGGACTGCTGGTCACATACGTCGACGACCTTTTATATCTGAGCAAGCCTTGGATTGTGCAGAAGCTACATGGTTGGATTTCCAGCATGTGGCCAACGTCCGCTCTAGCTTGGGCAACAGATGACGAGGGCTTGAGATATTTGGGAGTTGAAGTTCGACAGCTGCAAGATGGCACCTTCAAGTTGGACCAGGCGGGCTACGTGAAGGATGTTTTACGTGGCCATGGAATGCTTGATGCCAAGCATACGTTCTTACCGGCACCAAAAGAATGGCTTGATGAGGCTGCAGCGACAGAGCGTGCACCAGAGGAGCATTCGGAATCCCAACTGAAGCACGCGCAGCGTGTAGTTGGGGAGTTGATGTGGCTGACTATGCGAACTCGCCCTGACCTCTTGTTCGTGACGAGTTTTATGGCCAGTTATGCTACGAGGCTTCCACTTATGGTTGGGAAGATTGGTGCAAGAGTCCATTCCTACCTGGCGGCCACAAAGAATGTCACCCTACATGTGCAGAACAGGGACGATAAGGACTTTTACTTTGGGCCAAGCTTCAGCAGCAGCGGCAGCAGCAGTACAGACAGCAAGCAACCGCAAGCATCAGCAGCACAGGGGTCTGGGCTTAGGCTAGTGGGTTATAGCGACGCGTCCTTTAGCCCTGCCGGTGGCCGCTCGTTTGGAGCATGTCTGACTTTGATCAACGGAACTCCAGTGGCTTGGAAGGCCAGCAAACAAGCCTTCGTTACATTAAGTGTAGCGGAAGCAGAGATGTACGAGGCGGTACAAGCGGCTACCCTTCTGGAAAGCGTGGGAGTTCTCTTGGATGAGGTTGCGGGAGGCCGAGTTCATCGACTTTTGCGAATAGACAACAGTGCAGCAGTGTCCCTCCTAGGAGGAGCACCCGGCAGCTGGAGGACAAGGCACCTGCGTGTCAGGTGGACCTACTTGCGGGAGAAGATTGAACGGGAGGAGTTGGAAATCCAGCATTGCGCTGGAAGTTACCAGCTGGCTGACCTGGCAACCAAGGTCCAAACCCGTGTCAGGACAGAGGACCTAATGAGGCTATGGGGCTTCGATGGTTACCCTGCTGCGCCTGGACGTGTTGAGTGTGTGAAGCTGGCTTTGTTGCTGTGCATCTTGTGCTCATTGCCTCTAGCAGCTGCTGAAGGAGATGAGGATCAACACAGGAAGGACGCGTTACCAGCAACTGAGTGGAGCGAGCTAGCTGTTTTTACAACTGTGGTCTGCATTGTGGCGATTGTGTTCTGGGAGCTTATCAAGTTTGCTGCGAGGGCAGTCTTGAGAGGCCTCAAGAGTGCGAAAAAGGAGAGAACCAGAAGCCGTATTCGGGAAAGGGCAGCTGCGGCCACGGAGCGTGAGTTCCAAAGGCTGGAGGCTGAAACCACTACTCGGACAGCGCCAAGTTCTCCACCCACCCAGATCGTTGACAGTCCGAGACCCTCAATGTCTAGACCAGTCAGTGTGACATCGCGACCGAGCCCGACTCGACCAACCGCGACTACAACCCCTCCAAGAAGGCGAAGCTTAGCAACGTTCGACCCTTCAGAACAGTCGGAAAGACGGAGGCTGGTGCGTGATGTTCTTTCTCTGCTGCTCGTTGATGAGTTGCAGAAAGCTTTGAGGCTACAAGGCCTTATGGTGTCGGGTGTAAAGGAAGACCTGATCAGTCGATTAGGTGAAACACTCGTGCATGACTCCGGAGAGCTTCCAAGCCATCTACCAACAGATCGTCAACTGCGATATGTTCTCTGGATCTGGCGGCATCACGACTTGAAAGGTCGGGTGTTGTTGAAGTGGGAGGATGTTTCTTCGCGAAGGACTACTTCTATGTGGATTGAGCGATGGAAGGAGTCGGACAGATAGAGCTCTGTCTGACAACAGTAAGAATTCGCCATTTTGGCAAGACCTATCAAGATGGTGGGTAGGGTGCTATCAAGCTGCAGCTGAAGGATGAGAAATTCCGCAGTCACTTCTCAAGGAGGAGTGTTGAGCCGCCAAGGTGAGCTTGCTTCTGCAGACGAAGGCTCACAGAGCCAGCAGAAGGCCAGGAGCAGCTTTAGCACCATAATTAGAACGACTTCGACAAGCATAGCACAGAATGTATGCAGTCAACGTCAAGATCTTCTGCTGTTCGTTAAAAAGACTTCTGCGCCGTTAGTTTGCTGCCATGGACCCGGTACCCGTAACCAACCTTTCGAACGATGACCCTCGAGAAGGCCGTCAACAGGTTCCTTTTTTTGCGGGGTCCAATAATAGTAAGTACGGCACCCTTATGAAAAGGACCCCAGAAGGGACCCTAACTTAGAGAACTACCCATATCCCATATGGCTTAGGAAAAAAGGGCGGGGGCTTTCTTGTACCACGTTTTGATCCTCTCGGCTTTACCAGTCTCTGCATCTCCAGACCAGGCAGAGGAAGCACCCGGTCACCACGTAAGACGCAGCTGAGGACAAGTAGCCACCATAGCTGATCTGATCAGTGAGGATGTCGTCGTTTGGGACGTCTGGAGTAGCATGTTGCCCCCCGACTCTGTTTTTAATTAAAAACAAGGACAAGTTCCTTGTGGAAGCTCGAGTCTGTTTTTAATTAAAAACGTTCATCACCAGACGCCCACATCGCCATCAGGAACAGCAGCGACTGCCCCGTGGCGTAGCGGCTTTGCGCAGGAAGGAGGTTTAGGGTTTAGGGTTTGGGGTTTAGGGTTTAGGGTTTAGGGTTTAGGGTTCAGGCTTCACGTGGCCTCATTCCACTTTAAGTAAAGGCTTTTGCAGATTGCTGTAAAGGCTCGCCTTTTCCAGAAGACGCAACCCTGGCTCCAAGAATCCATTTGAGGCACACTACGGCTGATGGTCTAAATCCTGCATTAACCATAATATGGACTATACAAAAATTCCCATAGTTTAGGGCTTAGGGTCCTCAAAGTAATGCAAGATATATATCATCAACAGTACCACTACCTCAGTGCCCACCTCAGAAGCCAAAGAAACCTAACTTAGCTCTTCCCCTTAATGCAAAAAGGCATGCAACAGGTTCCGGGTTTAGAGCCCTAAACCCTAAACCCTGAAACCTAAACCCTAAACCCTAAACCCCAAACCCTGAACCCCTCTATCATATATTAATTTAAACCTTAATGTCCTTCGTGGTTCCAGGCCAAATCTTCGCGGTTCGAGGCCAAATCTTCGTGGTTCGAGGCCAAATCTTCGTGGTTCGAGGCCAAATCTTCGTGGTTCGAGGCCAAATCTTCGTGGTTCGAGGCCGAAGGCCAAAAATTCGTGAGCGAAGGCCAAAAATTCGTGGCCCAAGTAGGGTGTAGGGCTCTAGGGTTTGCGGCTCTAGCGTTCAGGGCCCTAGAGTTTAGGGCTCTAGGGTTTGCGGCTCTAGCAGCGTTCAGGGCCCTAGAGTTTAGGGCTCTAGGGTTTAGGGCTCTAGGGTTTAGGGCTCTAGGGTTTAGGGCTCTAGCGTTTAGGGCTCTGGGGTTTAGGGCCCTAGGGTTTAGGCCCGTAGGGTTTAGGGCTCTAGTAGCGTTCAGGGCCCTAGGGTTTAGGCTCTAGGGTTTAGGGCTCTAGGGTTTAGGGCTCTAGGGTTTAGGGCTCTAGCGTTTAGGGCTCTAGGGTGTAGGGCTCTAGGGTTTAGGGCCCTAGGGTTTAGGCCCGTAGGGTTTAGGGCTCTAGTAGCGTTTAGGGTCCTAGGGTTTAGGGCTCTAGGGTTTAGGGCTCTAGCGTTTAGGGCCATAGGGTATATAAACGGAATTTTGTATTTTCCAATGTCGTGGGATTCAGGGGTGGGTGGGTGTTATGTCTAAACCTTAA